CCTGACTTCAGTCAACAACCTTATTGACTCATCATGGAGCTTGAATCTCACAGATCTAACACCTCCAATCTTGCAAGCTTTATTGTTTCCAAGAAATACATATCCACCATCTTGATCACATAGTTCCTCGAACAAGCCTTTCTTTGGAGTCATATGCCAAGTTCAACCTGAATCCGTAATCCACTCTTTACTTGAGCCACCGCTTGAAACCACAAGAACATCACATGAGTCGAAATCATCTTGAATAATGGTTGTGTCGCCATTATCCTTACCTCCATGATCTTTTAGGCGTTCAAGACACACTTTTTTTGTATGACTCTCCTTCTTACAGTGATAACATCGAATACCAGATGAATCACCACCATAAACTTCTACTGACTTTTACCTTTCTTCTTGTAAAACTTGTCATCTCTCTTTATGAAATTTTCCTTAATCGATATCCCTTCACCAGTCAAAGATGGCTTTTTCTCCTTTCGTACATTCAAATCCTTAGAATACAAGGCTTATTGAACTTCTCCAAAGGTTAGAGATTGTCTTATATACAAGATAATTTCTTGCAAATGAGCATGTGATTTAGGCAAAGCGCACAACATTAACAACACTGGATCTTCATCCTCGATCTTGATATCGATATTGTCAAGATCAAGAATCAGTTTATTAAACTTATCCAACTGCTCATCCAAAACTCTGTCTTCACTCATCTTGAATGAATACAGAGCTTGCTTCCGATAGAGGCGATTGACCAACGATTTGGTCAAACTTTTGAGTTTCACCCATTACCCACACATCGTCATCTCGTTCGACACATGTCAGAAAACTTTATCACCAATGCTTAATAAGATGGCGTTGTGGTCTTTCTCTACCTTAGTCGTATTTTCTTTGTCCATTAACACGACGTCCATGACTGTGGCTTCCTTCAACGCTGCTAAACAACATTTTTGAACCAATAGGGCTTTCACCTTAAAGCGAAATAGACCGGAAACGTTCACTCCGGTGAACTTTTCAATCTCATACTTTGTTGACGGCATCTTCTCCATGCTCACTGCATCAATTTGTTGTGAAAAACGATACCAGAATAACAAAGTATAATCAACTTCTTGATCAACAAGAAACCCTCAAGGGTAAGAAAAATAGGAAAACAAGAAGAATACAATGAAGTTGGTTATAAACTGTTATTCTTTACTTTCTCTTTGAAACAAGATTACAAGTGTTACAGGATATCAAATAACCTGTCTCACCCTAATTAGGATTTGTACCACACCCAAAAGTTGAGAGACTAACATGCTATTTATAAGAAAACTAACATATTAACCCAATGAGATTTTACACACAGGCTCATTACACAAGCTAACAAAGGAAACAAGCTAACTTAAACAATTGGGCTTACAATCAAGGCCTAATTCAACAAACTAACACTCATAGCATACTTTGACTACAACATGTGAACAGGCTTCGATGACATGCAAAGATTCTTTTGAATTGCCAAGCCAAGAAGCTACCTTTCGACCATATAAGAGTTCAATCCAATATCTCACAAAAACCTTAACATGAATCACACATTCACATCAAGCATATCGATCGACAATATTTTACGGAATAAAGTTTCTTTATTTATTCTCGTGCACTAGAAAAATAAAAGAATGACTTATATATAATTTTTTGACCTTGAAACAAGTAATTTTTGTGTATATATTCTATTGGAACAATGTCTCTATTTATAGAGAAATTGGTGTGAAAGGAAACATCTTTTGACTCAATTCAAGTGTTGAGCTTGTTACCTTTAACTCAATATTGAAAACCTTAACCACAATACCACATAGCCATTTATGATTTAAATGATGCATAACATTAATTTAATGATTATTTATTCAATATTTTGGAAATTTCTTCAACAATCTTTAGGTTATATTTTCGATATTGATCCATATTTTATTTATAATTAACATTAAATTATGCAACTTTAAAGAAGATGATAACAACTTTCAATGATGGTGAAAGATACACAATTAATTCATATAATTTTAAAATTGTGAAATTTTAATTTATGTTTTTTGTGATTAATTTGTGGTTGGAACATTGATGGAGAAATAAACATACATCTTTGTTTATTCATACCTATGGTGAAAGGTACATAATCATTTTAAATAAATATATGTTATATGATGTTCAAAATTTTTGTAAAATATGTTGAAAATAATATTTATTTATGTTAAGTTTAACACGGGCGATAAATTTAAATATTAAATTATTCAAGTATGTGAATTTGGATAATTAAAGATATATTTGGTTTATGGTGTATAATTGAATATACAATACATGTTACATATTATTATTTTGTGTAAGTAATTTATTTAATATATTATTTCTAGATGAAATAGTTTGGTATAAAATTAAATATTTTAAAAAAATATCATGAATTTGAATTAATGGTGCATATATTGATAAATAAAATGATGTAAATAAAATGTTAAAAATATCAAGGACATGATTAAATTGCATTTTTAATTTGTGCAAGAACTTATTAAATTTAAAATGATTTATCTCATATTATATTTGTATCATAATATGAAAATATTATTTCTTGTTTGTCTTGATATTAAAAGTAATTTTGGTATATTTTAGATTACTGTAATTTGACAAATACTTATGAAAAAAAGTTATAGGAAATATCAATGATGTGAATTCATTGTTTATTTTGTATTTTAATTGTTATTTGAATATACTATAGAACATTGTAAATATGAAATATGAATTTATCACCTAGATTTGTCATGCATATTAGTTATACAAGAAAAATATTTATTTTAAAACAATATAAATGAATTCTATGGTGTTGCATTTATATGAAGTTTATGCATTACATGTTTGAACTAAAAATAAAAGTTAGTCATGACAAATTTATTTGATTGAGGTTGTCTATTGCTATAAATGTTCAATGCATTAAATATATTGCAGATATATTTAAGCGGGAGTAAAATTTCAGATTAAAAAAACTTAACAAATGAAGAATGACATAAATTTGTGTATATGACAAAATGAATGACAAAAGTGTCAGGATGATAGTTTATCGAAACTATTAAGAATATATAATATATGTTGTATATGATAATTGTACTAATATGACAAAAGTGTCATGATTTGATGATAGATTGTAAATATTATTAAGAGTACATAAAATAATTATAGACATGACTATTTGAAACAGCAAATATTCAAAGTTTTATTACTATAGAAAACATATACAAAACAGTTGGAAAAAATATATTATCACGCTGGACTAGCTATTGTTACGTAGCGTGTGATTGTATATGTGTTACTTAAAATTCCGGTCGTATGACCCTTGTTAAAAACCTGAAAGCGTGCAACATGTTACCACGGTTGCTTTAACTAACTGTTGTAATATATTAATAGTTCCTTTTTGATATATATATTATTCTAGACAGTGTTCACTCTACAACCACGGTCATATTTAACAACTGTCATTAAATTATCTGCTTTTAAAAAAATAAATATTTCTACTTTTTGAAATTTTTTCATTTTTTAACTTGTATGATAATGAAATTGTGCCGCTTCATAGAGTTCAAGAGCTTAACTCTTAAACTCTCATGAAAATGATATGAGACACAAAACTTTATTAAATGTGTCATATTAATAATTCTATCAATGGTACCGAAGTTTCATGTGTGAGTTATGCACGCTTGTTTTAATGAATAATTAGTTCAAAGTTTGTCTACCAATTTATTCGGCAATGAGTGAAAACTTAACTTACTAAGTAATGGTTCAAATCGTAAGATACCTTTATCCGAAACATGAAATTTCCTGAATAATAAACTTAGATATATTTTTAAAATGGTGATGGATTGTTGGAGAAATTTCAAAAATATTGAATATTCAGTTAAAGATGACGAGTTTGACACTGCAATTGAATATGTTTTGTTTTTATTTGTTAAATTGACAAAATAAAGGGGCAAAAGTTGTGTTTGACCAGAGTCAAACACAAGATATGTTGGTAGGAGGCGCCTAGACATGAATTGGTACCACTAGACCATTGTAACATTTGGTTTATATTATGAACGTAATATTACATATATCAGTTGCAAATATGAAATGATTTAAAAGATGTTTCCCTTCACCAAGTGACACCAATTTCTCTATAAATAAAGATATTGTTCTAATAGAAGATATACAAAAAAATTATTTGTTTTAAGTGCAAAAAATTATATATAAGTCATTCTTTTATTTTTCTAATGCACGAGAATAAATAAGGGAACTTTATTCTGTAAAATATCCTTAATCGATATGTTTGATGTGAATGTGCGTTTCATGTTAAGATTTTCAAAATATCCTGAAAGAGATTTGCTGGATTACCATTTTGCATTTAAATTGCCTAAATTGGTAGGAACAAATCGAATCTAAAGCTTAGTGTAAATACATGCTTTAGAATTTATTTTGTGTAACTTTTATCATAACATCTTCATCTTCTTCGTACTCAAATTTTGTAGCAGACCTCCAACGCAAGATCCAACATCTTTAAGGTGCAAAATTATAAGTTTCTCAATTTCTCTTATATTTGTCACGCATAGTGTGGTATTAGAAAATTAGGGAAGGGAAAAAAGGATTTTGGTTTAAAAAAAGTCAAAGAAATTGTACACATAAGCTAAAAAAATTTATTTGTATGTACACATAACCTAATAAGATGGGGTGTTGGTGGATAGTGGTGTTTTGAATGGTAGTTTAGTAAAAGCTGTATACATAATCTAATAGAATAATGTGGATTATTTTTTAAAAAATCAGTGTTAGATGTTGCAAAATAATTTTATGCATTGAATTTAATAGATTTAAACTGATATGTTGGAAGCAAAAGACATGAAAAGAGAATAACCTTGAAAGATTATTGATATTTAATATTACATATCATGCTTCACAAATGATAATCAATAACTAATTACAAAGAAAGAGGATCAAACAAATCAAAAATGGAAAAACATTAAACCTTGTTCCTATTGGTCAGGATGAACTTGACAGTGATGAATTTCAGAGTCAGAAATTCGTTTTTTGTACTGCGCAATAAAAGCTGTAGCTCTCATGTCAATGACAGGATCGGCTACGCCCCAATTACCTCTATCTTCATCACTTGGCCAAACTTTGTTAGCATAAGCGGCATGATCATAGTATCCTCCGTCTCTTTGTTTGTTACTGCTAGATTTGAAAATGTTGAAAACAGACCATGATGACTTTGATTTTCTATAATTGTTGTTTCCTCCCATTTCACTGATGAGTAATGAGTGGTGAGTGATGATTCCTAGGAACAAGAAAGTAGTGTTTGAAAGAAAGAAGTGTGTTCTGTTGTATTTTGCTACAAAATGGAAGCTAGGGTCTCAATTTATATAGCACTAGTTGCTATTAAACACACTTTTTTGTTAAACTAAGAAACAGGAATCTGATTCAAACCACTTGCATGAGTCCAATATTCATGGTTCAAACTCTTGTTCAAAATAAACAGGAATTTACTTTTCTATTATTCAATCATTTGTATCTATGTTTTTGTACATATTCCTTTCTATTAATCCAACTTTGAATTTACAAATATAGTTTCTACTTAAATACTAAAATCCAATTCACAAGATTCTCTCTACTCAACCAATGTACGAGTAATGTATGAGGCATGAGCCATATCAAACAAACTACAAGGTTCAAACAAGATCACATGGAACAGTATTTTATGATTAAACTTTTTGAAAAGGTATATTTTCTGTTGACCAGTGGTTTCAAGCTTTACTTGATTAGTGGTATGATCCGTGTTCTTTGTGTTTTTATCTTCAATGATTTACATTTATTGCTGCCTTCCACACACCTCTCTGTTACATTAAAGCACATTTTATGGTTTCGGAATAAATTTGTGTTCAATTTATACTAGATAGACCCTAGCAGATTTGAATTTTAACTAATTTAGTTGATGCAATTAAAATTCTTCTTTCTTTGTTCTTTTAAGTACTAATCAAGCATTGGAAGCTGTTAATTATTTTACCATATTAATAATATAAAAAGCTAGAACTTTGGTCTTTCGAACTTTAACTAACTTTACAAATTCTAAAACTAAAACATCTGATAAATTATCTAGAACAATAATATGAAAGTTAGAGCGTTAGACTAGTAGACACCATGTATTATTATAATCATGAGATGAACATCTCACAGCTAGGCAGAGCATATAATTAATTGTATAAAATTGTTATAGGGATAATCAATAGCTTAAGAACCTTATTATGTTAATTAAACAGCATACTATACATGTTCACATTGGAAAGGTGGGAAGATATGGGGAACGTTGAAACACATATATCTAAGTCTGTTATATGTTTACCTTTTAAATAATAAAATAAGTCGTTCTTTTTATTTTTTTATTATTTTATTTTTTTTAGTGTACATGAAAATGAAAGAATTTTATTCTGTAAAATATTATTGATCGATATTTTTAATGTGAATGTGTGATTTAAGGTAAAATTTTTAAGGTATCTTGAAAAAGAATCATAAAATACTCTTTTACATCCAATTTACTTAAATTGTTAGGTCGAATCGAGCCTACAACTGAATGTAAATACATATTTTAGAATTTATTTTGTGCAATTTTCATCAAATCTTTTTCATCTTCTTCTTATTTATATTTTACAGTAGCCTCCAATACAAAATCTAATCTGGCCTAAGTCGATCGGTAGAGAATGCTCCTTGATAAGTTCCTAAGTTGTAGGAAAATATGTTACATCAAGTTTTAAAACCGGGTTTGCTTCTAGACACCCATCATGTCAAATTGTTCCATCGATAATAGTGTAATTTATTTTGATGATTTGTCGCATTATTAATATTTTAGATTTATCGTTTGTAGTAATTTCTAATTCATCAATTTAAAGTAATTTAATTTATTTTATTTTTGTCAATTATTGTAGCATTCTACGTTGAACTATTCCTCGCTCTCACTTAAGTTTAAAATTTTGCAATGTGTTAGATTATACTAAGGTTATCACTAGAATAAAAATGGAATAAGAAGATTAACACATAAAACGTAAATTTTCAGATTTTTCTTGCCTCCAAAGAACAATGACAAAAGATAATAAATAGTTAGGGTAATAGAAAGAGCATATGGACCTGCAAGAGTAACCCGGCCCAACAACAAAACACTCTTTCTATGTGGACTCACTAAATCAATAATAGCAGTCTTTTAATAATACAGACATTTTTTTATCTCTAATGGGCCTTGTAATCTTTCTAACATTACTCACGCGCCCAATAAAAACCTTGTCCTCAAGGTTCATTATGCGTTTGTTATTGGGTTGGACGATTTGGGCCCCTTTGAAAAAATTGCTGAAGAGTTTTATTGAAAGAGAGTTGAGGTGCGCTGGCACTTGAGGGGATTGGGAAAACCACGTGTCGTGCGAGGATGCAGCATGGGGAGGGAGAAGTGATGGGGAAAGCTGGATGGAGGGTGAAGATTGGAAAGCTGAAGATAAGGGTGGTCTCGGGAGGTGTGTGTGGGAAAACGTGTGGGGAGAAGAAAGTGATGGGTTAGGTGGTCCGCGTGCATCTTGGACAGTGTGTGCATTAATGATTTGGTTAGAAAGTGGAAAAGGGGAATGGGATACAGGTTGGAGAGTAGCCGTTCCAGGCTGGTTTGTGGGGTTAGGTAATGAAGGATCAAAAAAGTATTTATGGGGCTTTGAGGTGTCATTAAGAAGCACATGGTTAGGGACACTTGTAACACATGCAGAGATTTGAGAAGCAGTGGTACTTAACGTGGTTGGCATTTGGGAAAATGAAAGGTGTTCATTTTCCATTTCATCGTGCATTTGTGGAGCATTTTCTTTTCCTCCCGTTTTGAATTCTTCCTTTGTTTCTCTACTCGCAACCATTCTGATATTAGATGAATGAGTAAGCTTCTGGTTCACCTTCAAAATTTTAGTTTTATTTCTGTTAAGCGCATTTTGTAACATCTTTGAGTCATTGTTTGGTTACTGCAGGTCGATTCTTTCTTGTGTTGGGTCTTCAAAGATGGTTGTGTATTCTGGTGGAAAGGGTTGGACTGAAGAGACTAGGTGGCCGCTGAAGTACGGTTTAAGGAGAGACACGTGCACGACAGGGTGAATGCGTAAAGAAGAAGGGAGATCCAACATATATGAGACTTCCTGTCGCAACTGCGAAAAAGGGCCGGCAAACAGACAGAAGAGTCACCACCGAACGTTATTTATCCCAAAGAGAGGGAAAGGAAACGATCGAAGAAAACCTAAGAAAACGGGAAAGACAGGTCATCGCAACCAAATCTTGGGTTCGGGAGTCGGTTACGCAAGGGGAAGGTATGAACACCCCTCACGTCCGTTGTACTCAACGGGATCCACGCTTGCTGTCTAAATCTATGGGTGAAAACTATCTAAAATCTACTACTAAATGGGGGCAAACGGAAAGAACAGACTCGATAGGACATCGCCGCCCTTTGCCTACGTATTCCCTCGTGCAATGGGAAAGTCAGAGTCAACGTAGTTCGGGAAACTACGGGTGATGGGGGGAAGGTTGCTCACCAAGACATCGTTGTCTTGTGCCTACGTATCCTCATCTGGTATGAGAAATCAGAGCAAACGCAGTTCGGAAAAACTAAACCACCGGTTGGTTAAGTGTTTTATAAGCGATGTTAAATCTCCATTCTAGCAGTTAGGGACGATACCTGTTTGCGATAGAACAGAAACTTAACACACTCTTTCTGCAAATTAGGTTGGAAACAATCCCGAAGGATGAAAAAGTTTGAATTTGGTTTGTGTTTTTTAGAAGAAGTGAATTGAGTTAGTTTGAAACTCATGTTGCACTAAAGATTATGACATGAGAGCGAATGCGTCGCATATCGCCCAAGGGACATACACTAAACACTCTAGATAATGTGAAGAGATACCTCCCCACTTATCATTCCTCGTGTACTTAAAGCTCGTAGTGTACAACACTTGTTATCCTTTATTAGGTGTCTTAAAAGAGTTTTGAGATGAGAAGAGAAGACACAAGGACTCTAAAGGGGACTAAGAAACCCTAATGTTATTGTTAGATCCCAAATATTGTATATTTTTGACCTCTTTTAGTAGTATTTTTACTTGTTTTTTTTATCTAGTATTGTTGAATTAGTAGTTGAATTTGTTTAGTTTCATGTTGTTGAGATTCAAGTGAATGGTGCTTGTAATATTGCTGTTAATGTGCAGGATTGACACTAATAGGAACTGTAACACCCGACTTCCCAAATCAATTAAAATATAAACATTATAAATAAACATCAGAGTTGTTCACCTCCCAAGTGGGATATCACATAATCAAATCCAACACATACTTCATTAAAAATGTTTTCACCAAAATACAGCGGAAATTGTTCATATAATGAAATACATCAAATTCATGATACGTCACAGGAAAAGAAATAAGTTCAACAAAACAACTAAAACACCCAAGTCCCGTGCTACGTATCAGAGCATCCTAAGACTCGACTGGCACACCACAAATCTAAGCTAGCTAAGTACCTGGATTATCTGCACTTCCGAAGAAGCACAGACCACAACAACAGCAAAGGGGTGAGAAAACATGATCAAAATATATCGGTAATTACATACATGAAATAAAGGTAGTAACTACAACAGTCATATCAATCATCACCCAACATTCACCCAACACGACATATAGTCCACCAATCAACATAATACATCATAATGCAAATATGCAACGCAACACCTTGCATGCGGTACCGACTCTTTGGTTCCTCAATGGAACTCGGATAGATCACATACGCCCACCCTTGGCAATGATCCGTTCCCACCAATTCCCCACTCAAAGGAATACGAATGAATCACATACACTCCATCGAGCAATGATTCATTCCACCAACACTTCATGATATGCATGACACCAAATGCATACAAATTAACACAAGCATACATTGTGCATACGATTCTCAGATCACACCAACATACATCACATACACATAGATATGTCACACACCCATCAACAGGCACTTACATAAAGTATTAAGGAATTCACTTCCTATCACCAAATGCACACTCGCCAACATTCGATCACCGTCCCTACACTTATCATGATCGAAGGGACCTTACAAGGCTAATGTACAAGGCAAAACAACACAAAACCACATTATGCCATCACGTTCGCTGAACCATTCGCCAGGCGAACCTGCTGGCGAAGCCTCGCTGGCCACATTCGCCAGGAAAACTTTATACCCTTTAGGTCTGGG